CAGAGCGAGTATGTGTGTGCGTGTGTGTGTGCGTGCATGTGTGCGTGTGTGTGTGTGTGCGCAGGGATGCATCCCACCTAGTCCTTGGCCTCAGGCCCACCCTGGGCTCCCTTCCCCGTGGTGGAAATGAGCTTCTCCAGCAGTGAGAGGGCCCTGCTCCTCTTCACCTTTAGCATGTGTCCTGGATCTGGTCTGTTTGCTGCTCATTATTCCCACCACCATCCGAGTTAAAGAAAAAAATCCAGTTCTACGATTTTCCTGTGGTCTTGCTGTCTTGAGGCTTTCCGCCTGTTCTTATGTCCAGGTGTTTGCCCTGCTTGTTGGGCGCCTTATAATAGTTCTGGGCGTCCTACCTGTAGTTCCAGCCTCTGGCCGCCTAAGTGGTGGATCCCGTTGCTCTTCTCGAGTGTGAAGGCGTGAGATGCTGGCTTTCCTTTACGCCCTGCAGAAGACGTGGTGCTCCGCCCTCTGCAGCCATCCGGTGGCTTGGATCTGACTGTTCTGACACCAGGCGGGCCGTGGACCCTGGTGCCGGGTTCCAGGCTTCTGCAGTGCTGCTGGTGGGCAGCCTGGGCCTCCCTGTGGCAATCCCTAGGTCCAGGTCTGGAGGCGGCCTGCCTGGAGCGTGAGGCGCTTGGACTTGCACCCCGCCGGCCGCTGCCGCCCCAGCACTTGCAGTTCCTTTCTGGCCAGAAGACCAGGCTGTGGTCATACAGTGCCCCTGGGAGGATGGCGGAAAGCAGCGAGCCTCGCCAGCATGGTGGAGTGGCCGTGCTGGACCTGCCCGGGGACCCTACCAGCCCGCAGTGTCTGGGCTCCCGGGGCTTCCATTGCTGCTCACCTTAGCCCAGTACTGTTTTTTTCTTTTTTTTTTTTAACAAAATAAAATTAGTTAATAATGACATTTATTAATTAATTTTATTTAAAGTTTTAAAAAAAATTGTCAGTAGGCCTTTGTTTTAGTTATTTATATGCGGTGCTGAGAATGGACCCAGTGCCTCGCACATGCCAGACAAGCGCTCTGCCAAGGAGCCACAGCCCAGCCCGGCACTGGGTTTGCAGATCACATTTAGTTAGGTGTTTCTGAAACACGTTTGTCCATAAAGCAAGAGGAAAGCACCAGCAGCCCGATTTAGTTCAAGTGGACGTGACGCTGCTTCCCTGAGGTGGGCTCGAGCCGGTCGGTCGGTGCTGCAAGGCCAGCTTTGCTGTGGAGGGCGTCCCAGGCAGGCCCCTTTGCTGGGAACCCGGCTGATGATGGACAAGACTTTCATCACAACAGCCGTGTTCCATGGACTGGGCGGGCAGGGCTGCCGGTGGTGGGAGAGCTGAGCCTGGGGTTGAGGGCTTGCTCTGGGGCCAGTGCCGCAGCTCTAGTGAAGCTGCTGGGCCTCCTTCAGCTCTGCTTGTGAGATGAGTCCCGCTCAGGTCTCCGCTGGGGGCTGCTTTTCCCTGGGGACTCGCGGCCCAGGTGTGTATTGGGACGTTCTGTTCTGCTGTTTTGAATCTAGTGGAACTGATCAGAATACAACAGTGACTGTGAGAGGAAGGCAGCGGGGTGGGCTGCAGACACCGTGCTCATGTGGACAGGCTGGGGAGGGGCGGTGGTGCTCAGAAGAGAACCTGGCAGCCCCAGGGAAGGCTTCTGGTGGCCCAGTCCACTGAGCCTCATCAGGTGTGGCCAGTGACCACAGGATACTCCTGGTCTGCGCTCCCTGACACCCCTGCAAACCCCGGGTTTCCGAGGGCCTGCCCTCTGTCCAGCCATCAGAGTGCTCCACTGCCCGGAAGAGAGCCGCGCTCGTCAGCCTGACCGAGGCCTTGCCCGTGGCACCTGTACCACAGCTCCTCTCGGTGGGCTGTGGCCAGCGTCCAGGTGCACAGTACAGTAGCCTGCAGTGCTCATGGGCCTCGCCTCCATGCAGATCTGGGGTTCACCCTACAGAGGTGACCGTGACCCGGGACACCTCCATCATGGCGGATTGAGCTCGGTTTGTGGGTGGCTCTGGTTCACCTGCAAGCGTTCCAGGTGGGCGCACAGCTGCTGAGGCAGGATGCCCCGTGGTAGGCTGCACAGCAAGGTGAGGGGTGGGCACCGGCCCCCAGAGCGTGGGGCTGTGAGCCTGCAGGAGTGACTGTCCCACTCCACAAAGGACGTTCAGTTGAATTTTAGGGCAATCCGTGTTCGATGCGTGTTCAGCGCAATCTCCTGAGGAGCCCTGCGGTCTCCCCGGGCCTAAGCTGTGGATTTCATCCAGTGTGCTCCGGCCCTGAGCGTGAGGCTGCTGTTTTGTGGACTTAAACACGTGAAGCTTGCAGGGTGTGGCGATGCGTGTCTGTGATCCTAGGGGCTCAGAAAGCTGAGGCAGGAGAATTGCAGGTATGAGATCAGTCTGGGTAACTTAGCGAGGCCCTGAGCAACTTAGGGAGATTCTGATTTTTATTTTATTCTCAAAATAAAAAATGGAAAGGGCTGGGGATGTGGCTCAGTGGTTAAGCTTCACTGGGTTCAATCCCAGGAACAAAAGAAATAAGAAAAAGGAAAACAAAAACAAAGTAAGTGCAGCTGCGACCAGTTAAACCGGGGACTGCTCTTCACTCCTCACCCTGCTGTTGGACGAGCGCGTGGAGACTTGGGTGTGGGGCTTGAAGATCAGGCCTTCTTGGTTATTTGAAGAAAGGAAGAAAACCAGAATAAGTCAGAGGGCATCCCTCGGGTTGTCAGAGCTGCCACACCATGCCCACAGCCTGCACACGGGCACCCGCTACACGGGGCTCTTGCTGGCTCGCCCCAGCCGCCCCGTCTGCTGGTGGTGGGCTGTGACAACCCTGCGCAGCTGAGCCTGGCCAGCAGCAGGTGTGGGCGGCCAGTGATCCAGAGCTCACGCAGACCCAGGCCCTGGAGTGAGAGGTACATCCCCGGAGCCACGCCTAGGGCAGAGTTGAGGCACTGGCCCCAGGCCACCTGCTTGGCCTGGTCAGTACGCTAGCCTGCGGGCTCTTAGGTGGGGTGCTGACTGCGTGAGAGGCGTGAGTTTCAAATAAAAGTACTCGCGCACTTTTATTTTCTCATTTTTGATTTTTTGGTACTGAGGATTGAACCCAGGACACTTGACCACTGAGCCACACCCCAGCCCTATTCTGCTTTTATTTAGAGACAGTCTCACTGAGTTGCTTAGCGCTTCTCTTTTGCTGAGGCTGGCTTTGAACTCACCATCCTCCTGCCTCAGCCTCCGGAGCTGCTGGCCCGACTCATTTGCCCTTTTAAAAATATTTTTTTAGCTATACAAGGATGCAGTATCTTTATCTTGTTTGTTTATTTGCTGAGGATCGAACCCAAGGCCTCACATGTGCCACTGAGCCACAACCTCAGCCCTCACTTGTCTTTTAAACAGAATTATATTCATGTTACTCACCTGTGGTTTTTTTTTTTTTTTTTTTTAAGTTAAGAAGGGTTTTTCACGTTGCTTTTGTTTTGATCACCACGGCCTTTTTCGTCCTGCCTCTCGTCCTTGTGGTGCTGGTGCTGGTGTGCAAGGCGAGCGCTCTGGAGCCCAGCCTGCCCCACCAGTGGGCCGCTAGCCTCCTCTGCAGGCTCCAGGGAGCAGGTCCTGCTGCCCTCTGGCTGGGGCTGAAATGCCTCTTTTCAGGCAAACACCGAGTGGGCTCCTCTGCTCACGTGGGGACGCGCTGGCGCTCAGGGCAGGACAGACGCCGGCTGCATGTCTTAGGCTCACTGACGTGGTTCCTGGTGCTCAGAGATGTGGACAGCTTGGTCAGGGTGACGTCAGTGCTCTGGGGAAACCCCGCTGCAGCCTGCCCGTGCCCTGAGGTGGTCGGGGTCAGGTGAGGACTCTGGGCCCCTCTGGCAGGGCAGCCCTCAGATGTGGCCTTGTGTTGAGGGGGGTGCGCTCTCCTGTGCAGAGGAGCTCTTTCCTGCAGGGCCCGTGTTGAGCTCAGCGCGTCCCACAGTGCACACCACCCTGCAGAGCTGGGCTGAGTCGGGGGCTTGCCACAAGCAGGCAGGAAGGGCGAGCACCCCCAGGCCACCGGTTCCTTTCTTCACTACCCCAGCACTGGGGTGTAGGTTCCCGAGCAGCACCTGCCGTGTGGCCTGGCAGTGGCAGAAGCTAATGGGAAGGGGCTTAAACCTGGGCACAGCCTTCGTCTCTGCGTGGTCTTTCCTAGCTGCCTGGGGCCGGGTCGCATTCTCTGACTATCATGCCCAGGAAACACCAGCTCAAAAGGGTGCTTGAAAAACAGGAGGCGTGGGGGGAGGGTGGGAGTGGGAGCCCCAGCACATGGGGTCTTGAGCAGACGATCCCTGGAAGTAATGCTCAAAACCGGGGAACGTCCATGCCTGCGATTCTAAGCAGTTGGGAGGCCGAGAGAGGAGGAGCACAAGTTGGAGGCCAGCCTCAGCAACTTAGTGAGACCCTGGGGGTCTCAAAAAAAAGTGGGGGGGCTGGGGATGTAGCTCAGTGGCAGAGCACCCCTGTATTCAATCCCTGAAACATTCCCCCTCCCCAAAAAAAGAAAAAAGAAATGATGCTCATAACAGAATGGTATTGCTTTGTTTTCGAGGAGCGCAAACTGTGGAAAGGGAGGAAGCAAGAGAGTGATAAGTTGATAGCTGTGGCGCTCACTCCCCATGGCTGGGTCCCCTGGACACGCCCCCTGCTGTCTCTGAGGACGGGGTAGTAGCCCCTGGGCTGGTGTGGAACCCTGCTTCTCCTGAGGTGGGACTGACAGGGTGGACAGGGCGGTGGCCCTGCTGGGGGCTGGCGGGTGATGGGAGACGCAGCCTGCGGCCAGGCTCCCTGCCCTTCTTCCTTTCCCGGTGTGGTCTGGCCTCAGGGCGCCGGGAGGCCTGTTGGCAATCTCAGGCTCCAGCTGCCCACCGCGGGGATGCCCACTGCGGGGATGCCCACCGGGGCTGCGCCTCGAGCTGTCACTTCACCTTGTAATTCTGCTTTTGTTCTGTTTGTTTACTTTTGCAGTGAGTGTTGAAAAGATAGACCTGAAGGGATTGTCACACACACACAGTGACAGAAATGTTGACTGTTCCTTTGAGGTAAGATGCCAAGTTTTTTCCCTCTCCTCCAAGGGATAGGAACAAGACATTTGCCACCAACAGGCACCCACTTAACCTGAGTAAAAGCCCAGAACAAACACTGAGTGAGGTGGGCCAAGCGGTGGGAGTGACCAGGTGGGCATCCCCAGGGCTGGTGGTCGGCTCCTCACCGCAGACCCCCAGGTGGGCACCGGGCAGGGCTCTGGAGCCGTACTGCCTCTGTCACAGTGTGATGGGGACAGTAGCTGGACTTCTGTGCCCCCACCTCCCCTCAGCAAAGAGAGGACATTGTCTTGTGAACCTTGGGCCCTGGGGAGTGGAGGGCGATGCTCAGCCCCAAGCAGTCGGGTGGGAAGCTCTGTCCTCTGGGGGCATAGCCTTGGCTCCAGGCGGAGGACATGAAGGACCTGAGCTGGAGCCAGACGGGGTCTGAGTCTGGGCACCTGCTGTAGAGTGTGATGAGGTGGAGGCTCAGCTCTCAGAGTGCCCAGGGTCCCAGCCTCCTGGTGAGCTGTCTCAGCCTCCCGTGTCCCCTTAGCTCTGCCTCAGGTGTCCATTTGTGCAGCAAGAGGCAGCATGAAGAGGGGGAGTAAGGTCACCTTTCACTCTTTCTTTTAAGAACTATCAGGCAGGAGGAGTGTGAGTTCAAAGCCAGCCTCAGCAACAGCGAGGCCTGAGCAACTTGGTGAGACCCTGTCTCTAAATAAAGTGCAGAATAGGGCTGGGGATGTGGCTCAGACATCTCCAGTGGTCCAGTGCCCCTGAGTTCAATCCCTGGTACAGAGAGAGAGAAAGAGAGAGAGAGAGAGAGAGAGAGAGAGAGAGAGAGAGAGAGAGAGAGAGAGAGAACGAACTATTCCTGAAAGCAGCTGCTGGACCTTTTGAGCTGTGAAAGAGGCTGGGAAGGTTTTGGTGAATGGTGCCACTGTCGGGTTCTGTTACCTACTGGGCGTGAGGTCTCAGGAGACCAGCTGGTCAGGGAGACCTGCCTGCAGCCCATGGAGTGTTCAGGAGTGAGGGCGGTGTTGGTGCTCGTGTGTGCACTGTAAGCAGTTCACGGGGGTTTCAAGGACTGTGACTGTGTCATACACCCTAAGGCTGTTGCTTGGGACGGATCCTCGTGGGATCTGGGAGGTCCACACTGTGAGACCTGGTTCCTCTGCTACAGAGGGTCCTTGGAAAATGCAGGGGGACCTTAGGATTTGGAGGCTGTTGGCTGTGGCAGTGGCACTGAGCCTTGGCCAGCAGAGCCCCTGAGTTCCGGGTGTCAGGGTTGTGCAGGCCAGCAGGCTGCGGGAGCCCTGGGCTCCTGGGTGTCCAGGACGCGGCACCCCTGGCTTCTGTCCTCCTCGGGCATGCACGGCCAGGCTCATCGCGCACTGTGTGTAGCAGGCTGGTGTGGGACGCGGTCGTGGGAGAGTCAGCTCACCCTCTCCGTCTGGCTGGTCGTGGCAGGCTTTGATTTCCCTAGTCCACGATATGGTTATTTGTGGCAAGGAAAGTGGGCCACGTGGCATGAGAACTGGGGACGTCGAGAACCAAATGTGCCTCTTCCTCTCCCGGGAAGACTTGAGCTTCAGTGACAGGGTGGGGCCCTTGCCACCTCCTCCCGGTGCTTCTGACTGAAGAGGAGCTGCCCACCTGCGCCATCCCCACCTGCCGGACGCCTGTGCGCTGCCTGGGCAGACTTGCTTGTGCTCGCCTCCTGGCTCCCACGCTGCCCCGTGGGTGGCCAAAGACTTTGCTGCCCAGAGGGTTAAGCGGAAGAGGAGGACTTGAGGAGCAGGCTCGGCGGCTCCTGGCAGCCTCTGCCCTGTGCTCAGAGGGCAGAGCTTCCTCCAGCTGCCCAGGGAGCACAGCCAGGCTGCATCTGTGGGTAGTGATCTGAGGCTGGGGCTGAGGCAGGCGTCATAGGTTCAAGGCCATCCTGAGCACTTAGGAAAACCTTATCTCAAAATAAAAATTCAAGGGCCAGGTGGTGGCCACGCCTGTCATCCCAGCAGATCAGGAGGCTGAGGCAGGAGGATCCTGAGTTCAAAGCCAGCCTCAGCAATAAGGAGGTGCTAAGCAACTCTGTCTCTAAATAAAGTACAAAAAAGGGCTGGGGGTGTGGCTCAGTGGTAGCATGTTCCTGGGTTCAGTCCCCAGTGCCAAAGAAAAAGGAGAGCTGTGTGCAGAGCTGGCGTAGTCAGTACTCGTGACCAGAAGGCGCAGCTGGAGGTCCATGCTGCCTGCTGTCTGCTGGTGCAGCTGCAGAACCCTGCCTTGGGCCTCTGGAGACTGCCAGGGGCCAGGCGCAGGGCCAGGCCCCCGGGAAGGTCCAGGAAGGCCTTCAGGTCTGACCCGTGAGAGCCGCTGGCACAGGAAGGTGGGGTGGGACGCAGCCCGACCTCCACCTCCCCCTGGGCCCTGAGCCCCGCAGCTTCAAGAGGCAGGCACAGGAACCTCGTGACACCAACCAGGAGACATTTTCTCAGCACAGATGTGTGATGCAGGAAGAGGACGAAAGGACAGGCAGGGTTAGGAGAGAGCTCACGCCTCCCAGGTCCCATGAAGGTGGCATTCAGAATATATAAAGAGCCCCAGAACTCAACGGTGAGACAAAATGGACAAAAGATGAGAACATGAGAACGGCGTGGAGGAGGCGGCGGGAACAGCGGTCAGACGGCGGGCGCCGACCGACTACAAGTGCTGTCAGAACCAGAGGGCGTCCCTGGCTGTTGGAAGGACCAGGGGGAAGAGTCTGGCTGTGGTGCTGGCCAGGCTGTGGGCGCTGTGGGCACTGTGGGAAGCAGCTTGGCGGCTTCTTTAAAAAGTGGAAGGTCTGGGTGCAGCTCAGTGACGGGGCACTGGCCTGGCGGGCACAAGGCCTGCCTTTGAGCTCCAGCCCTGCAAAAAAAGCCACAGACACACAGCATGAGTGCCAGCTCCACACAGGCTCAGCCCGCGTCACAGCTCTGCGTGGCACCCAGGACCAGCTGTGAACAGCACCCTGACTGTCTCCAGGAAACGGACAAGCAGATGTCGCATTCTGTCCCCACGTGGAGTGTTCTCCGCCACACACAGGCATGAGCTGCTGAGCAGTCAGCAGTGCCAGTGAGTTGTCACGGTGTGGAACCAACCAAGTAGGATACAGCTTCTGAGCAGGGTGTGCGGTGGGAGCCACGCAGGAGTGTCCCCACAGGATCCCGGAGAAGGCAGGCCTGTCTCGGCCATCAGAGGGCTTGGGTTTCCTGGGGAAGGACTGGGAGGCCTCCAGGAATGGTCTGCTAACTGTTGGCGTGGGTGGCTTTGCGAGTGGCCCCTGATAAAATGCAGGTGGCACATCTCACCTGTGGTATTCACTGTCAACTCTAGCTTGGAACTTTGTCTTTCCTTTTTTTGGGGTGCCACCAGGAATGGAACCCAGGGTTTGCACATGCTCGGCAAGCCCCTTCTCTCTGAGCCACACCTCAACCCTTGTTTAAACTTTGAGGCAGGGTCTCGCTGAGTGGCAGAGGCTGCCCTTGTACTGCCAGCCTGGGGTCAGCCTCCTGAGCGGCTGGGATCGTGTGCTACTAGCTACATGCTCTCAGAACTGTTGAAGAGTCGGGGTTTCCCTGCAGCCCACAGGACTCTCATGGAAGGTAAGCAGCTTGTCATGTCAAGGAGCCGTGCTGTGAATGGACGAAGAGTGTCACCTGGGAGCCGACCACCAGGAGCTCAGGGTGGCGGCCTTGGCTAAGTCCAGTGGGGTTGGAAGCACCTTCCTCTTGGAGAATCTTCGCTGTCCCCGGCAGTGTCCCTAGCCTGGCCCCGGCCAGCCCCATGGCTTTGTCAATAGCACACAGGAAGAGGTTCTGTTGCAGGGGAAGGTGTCAGCAATGGATTTGGGTCACCTCAAGATACACATGTCTGCCTCTCGTGGGAATGGGCTCTCTCCTCCTGTCCCACAGGGTTGGTTTTATCCTGTGACGCTGTATTGACAGTTACTTTAGGAAACCAGTCCGCGGGCAAAAAGTGAATAATGGAATATTTTGAATATGAAATTCGTAACTGTGCACATGTGAAGTGACTACATGCTACCACCTTGTCCAGATTCACCATTAAGGAAATGACATCGCTCAGCCAGGCTGGGGGTGCGGCTCAGTGGAAGAGCGCTCGCCTGGTCTGCGTGGGGCCCTGGGTTCGATGCCTAGTACCGTAAGAAAAAATAATGGAATAGCTGAAACCGTCCAAGAGAAACTTCACTTGCTGTACGTGATGAAAAGGGAGAAAGACGCAGAAGGGTCCCAGCGTCTGAGACACCTGTGGTTCCTGAGGAGCTGCTTTGACTTGAAGGAATTGTCACTGATCACTTTAGGAAGGAGAGCCCTGGGTGCGGAGGTGCACCCGTGACCCCAGCTGTTCAGGAGGCTGGGCAGGAGGATCGCGAGTTCCAGGCCAGCCTCAGCAACCTGGCCAGACCCTGCCTTAAAACAACAAGGGCTGGAGGTGGGGCTGGGCTGTGGCTCAGAGGTGGAGTCCTCACCTGGCACTGGAGGCGGGCGGGGGTCGCTGGGTCCAACCCTCAGCACCACATAAGAATAAACAAGTAAATAAGAGGGGCTGGAGGAAGCTCAGTGGGAGAGCACCTTGAAAGGCCATTTTGCATCTCAAAGCGTTAGCTTCCTGAATGTCGTATCCTAGCAGCAGAGGATGAGTCTTGACAGCTATTTTTGTGATTGAGTTTTTGTTTTATATCAGACTGTGCGTGTGTGTGCGTGTGGTTTAGATGTTGGCTTTGATGTTGCCTTGATGGCTGGACGACATCTGGATGGCCAACATCTGGATGGCCGTGAGGGTCCTCTGGTCAGGCCTGGGCCACTCCTCTTGCTTTCTCACAGGGCCTCTTGCTGCTTTGGGGTCAAGGCTGCCTGGGGTTTTGTTAGTGAGGAGGCCCGGAGCACCGCCCGCCCGCCCACCCGCCACAGCTGCCTGGCCTCCTGCGGCTCCTCTTCAGTCCAGGTGCAGGTGCTTCTAGAGCCAAGCCGCGGCTTGAGAGCGTCCACAGCTCTGTCCCAGGAGCCTGCTCTCCCTGACCCTGGATCCCTGAGATTGGTCTGTGTTTTGGGAGGGCTCTGGTGGTGTCTGGGAAGGGCACTTAGGGGTAAGACCCTTTTGTGAGACTTCCTGTTGGAGCTCTCCTTGAATGTCCAGCCTGACGCTTGGTAATGGACTTGAGGCTGGCCGCCATCATCTACAGGAAGCTGGAGCTCTGCTCTCTGCTGCTGGTTGCCTTGCGGGGTTGCAGTGGAGAAGCGTCTGTTCTGGCTCCTGCCCTGGGCCGAGCGTGGCCACTTCTGTACACTCTGGAGGTTCCGGGATCCTCTAGTCCTAGGGGTGTGTTTCCAGGAGGTGAGCTTTGGTGCAGGTCTGCCCCATACATCCTGTCGGGCTCTTAGCCTGAGACTTGGGTCCATACGTGGAGACCTTCCCTTAGTGACTTCTGGTCTTTCTCTTCTCCTTTGCTGGCCTGCTTGGAATTCCTGCTGTCTGTGTGTGGCCCCCCACATTCCCTCTGTCTCCCTGAGGCTGCCCTGTCCATCTGGGGTCTCTGGGGTCTTGTGCTCTGTTGTGTGGAGAATCACCTCATCTCCATCCCTTCTGCTGCCCTGGGTTTCATTTCAGAAAACTCTTGGCTCAGCCAGGCACGGTGGTGCACCCGCCTGTGATCCCAGCAGCTCAGGAGGCTGAGGCAGGAGGATTGTGAGTTTGAAGTCAGCCTCAACAACTTAGCAAGGTCCTAAGCAACTTAGCAAGACCCTGTCTCAAAATTCAAAACTAAAAACCCAGCTGGGGATGTGTCAGTGGCCAAGAGCTCCTGGGTTCAGGCCCTGGTACAACAGACAGAACCAAACAGGCCCTTACTGCCCTTCTCTCCCAGCCTCCCGTTCCTGGGTCCTGTGGCTCTGAGAACGTGAAGGGTGTTTTGTGCTTTTAACAAGAGAAGAGGGTCTGCCTTCTCCAGGTGCTTAGTTCTGTTGGTCAGCCTCACCCTTCCCTTGGGACCGGGGACAGTCGGGGCCCTGGGCCGCCTGCTCTCCCAGGGCTTCAGTGTGAGCTGTAGACAGGGCCTGTGACCAAGGCACCCCCGGGGCATCTGGCTGGCCTTTTGCTGGTGCAGAATGGGGCTCCAGAGGGTGGTGCTGTGTGGGGAAGTGACACAGGAGAGCGAGGCCCTGTGTGTGACGGAGCCCAGGCGTGTCTGTGTGTCGGGTGACCTCCCATCGTGGCAGTCTGCACGCTGGTTCTCAGGAGGCAGCGAGGAGCCCTGTGGCCAGTGGTCGGTGGGTCTTGGGCTGGGTGACAGAGGTCAGCTGATGTGGCATGCGTCTCTCGCCTCCATGGCCCTCCTGGGGCTGCCCGCCTCATTGCTGTGGGCTGAGTGGGCAGCAGGGCCAAGCGTCAGGGCCGAGGTGGCCCCAGGGTGGTGGGCTGCTGTGCAGCGCCCCTGCAGATGTAGGTTTCTGTGCCCTATGCTCTGCTGGGTTTCCTCTGTGTCCACCTTGGGCACTCGTTGAGAATAGTAGTGTTACGTGTGGAGCAAATTGTCACTTTACACGTGAACGTCCGTGCCAGCCTTGTCGTGTGGCTGTTGGACCGCATCTGTGTTGGCTGTTGCCTCCGTGTGGCGTGGGTGGGTGGGGAGCAGGAGGAGGAGTCTGACTGCAGCCCCCCCAGCAGGGCAGCAGGGCTCTGCCAGCCCCTCCCAGGGGCACAGGTGTTGGCCCTGCTGTACGCACGGTGCAGCACAGCTCGAGGGCTGGGGAGCTCGCCGGTGGGGCCTGCAAGCCCAGCTTCCCTCCAGGGCATCAGCCGGGGGCACGCCTGGCAGCAGGCAGGCTGGGGCATGTGTGGGGACTGCGTGCTCTGGGAGGCCCAGGGCCCTTCCTTTCCTGCACTGCATGATGGCGTATGTGGTGGGAAGAGATTGGTGGGACCCGTGGTCTGGAGAAGCCCTCCAGGCCCTCCCAGCCAGGCAGCAAGGCTCAGCTCCGGGCGCTGGGTGGAAGGGTGACAGTGGGGTGACAGTTGAGTTCTCTGCTCTGAACCAGGGCAAATGCAGTGTCTCAATTTTACTGGAAACACTGGGTCGTTTTATTGCCTGCCTGGGCCCTCCAGTGCTTCTGGACCTGGACCTGGTGAAGTTTGTATTTGGTGGTGTTCACTCTCGGCCACCTCTGTCTCCCCGAGGCTGCCCTGTCTGTCTGATCCCTGTGGCCACTCAAAGTCAGCATGTCAGCTCGGGCTGCTCTCTGTGAAGTGCCCCTCATTCAGGTCTAGTGGTACCCAAGCCAGTTGCACTGGTCTCACCTGGGATGACACGAGCCACCAGCCCATGACAGGAGCTCCCTGGGGCTCTGCGTTCAGGCTGGCCATGGGCCATGGGCTGGGCAGGAAGAAGGCACTCAGGATAGACATTTGGCCACTGGGCACACAGACCTTCTGCCAGCTAGCTCTTTTGGGTCTTCCCACTTGACTCTCCAAATTGACTTGTCCCCGTCCCTGTACTGCCCCCCCTTCATGGAGTCCTGGAGTCATGGATGTACTTACATGTGACCCCCGTGGTTCTGCCAGTGACCCAATGGACTCATGGTGTCCCTGTGTCTACAGCACCTGCTGCAGCCCGGATGCTTGCTTTTAGGTGAAGGGCCGAGTTCTGCGAAATTGCTGATTGTGCACCCAGTGTAACGTGGAGGCCCCTGGAGGAAGCGTGCCTGCTGTGGGCAGAGCAGGCTGAGACCCGGGCTGGCATCCTGTGGTGGCTTTTGAATATTGCATAAAGCAGGGTGCTAAGCTTGGGGGCGAGTCGTGTGACGCTCCTCTTGGTGGCCAGGGGAGCAGGCCTGCATGCTCCATTTTCCCCAGGTGCTTGCTAACCCTGTGCCACCATCAACACCTGGTCATGTGTGCCGTGAACTGAGGATGTGACGTCTGTTTTTAAGGTTTGTTTGTTTGTTTGTTTTTAAGGTCTTGTGGTCTGATTCTTCAGTAACATCAGTAACCAAATCTTCCTCAGAAGTGACTGAATTTATTTCAAAGGTAAGGTGATTCAGGCTCCTATAACAAAGGGCTCCTTTCCCAGTAGCTGCGCATCCTGCAGCGTGACTGTGGGGTCTCCTTCTGTCCTGTGAGCACCAGTCGGGGGTCTGCTTTGGACAGGCTGCAGCAGTGAGCCCTGGCGCTGGGGAGACAGGCGGAGCTGCCCCTGGCATGGCGGCTGGGGCGCTTCTGCTTTCCACCCAGGTTTCTTGGGCACAGACTGAGGGCGAGGGTCCTGCTCAGGGGCTGAGCAGACAGATGCCCCTCATTCTGACTTTTACACATGGGGTTCTCCCTTTTCATTTTTAAATTGTTTCAACAAGTGACTTTTGAGCAGAAAGCATCACTGCTAACAGACGCCTTGGGCCTGCACACACATGTGCTGCAGCGCGCTCTCTGACACTGGCCAGGGCCACGGTGGTGACCCCTGCCTGGGCCTACAGTGGTGACCCCTGCCTGGGCCAGTGTCAGACCTACCCTCTGCTCCCTTTCAACAATGGGCGGCACATCCAGGGCATTTCCGAAGTGGCTCTTGCACTTCCATTGTGAAAGCAAGGCCCATCCCTGGGGAGGACACTGGGTCGCGGACCACGCCCTCACTGTGGGAGTGGGAGATGCTGCTGGTGCTTGTTTGGCGGCCCACCAGGCAGCAGGAACGCAGGCCTGTGCCCTCAGGTCCAGATCCATCCCCGGGAACGCACGTTACCCTGCGTCACCTCCCCTGTGCCCCGCTCCCCACTGTGCAGCAGACACTCCTCTGTAGTCACTTCTGTCCCTTGACCGTTGGCTGGTCGCGGGGTGTTTGCACCGCCTCCAACGTGCTCTGAGAGGTTCCTGCTCGGCACCTTCCCTTGGCTCTGGGGGCCTCCTGTCCCCTCCTCAGGCCTCTGCTGTCCTTGCTCTGGGCTGGCTCCGGGTTGCAGTTTGGACAGTTTCTCGTGCTCAGTGCTGACATCTGCTGAGTGTCCCTCACCCTGTCCTGGCTGCATGGAGCCTGTTGGGTTTGTGTCCCCTCTCGGGCCAGGCTCGTGTCCTGTTTGTTTGCCTGCTTGTCTGTGGCATGGCCCAGCCCTCTGTGGAAGGCGCCCTGTTTCGGCACGGTCCTGTGGGATGCTCACATGGCTGCTCGGGTCTGGTCTGGGTCCCCTGGAGTCTGGCCCTGGTGATGGCTTTGTGTCTCCTATTCAGTGTTTGGTGCTGGGCTGCACCAGGGCCGCTCTGCCACTGAGCCGCGTCCTCGTCTTTTCTAGATTTTGTTTTGAGACAGGGTCTCACTAAGTTGCTGAGGCTGGCCTTGAACTCTCATCCTCCTGCCTCGGTCTCAGCTGGATCACAGGGTGGCCGCCACGCCTGGCCAGCTCTGTCTTGATTTTAGCCCCTTGGCTTTCCCCTGTGCCCTGCACCTCTGGTCACTGGGCATTTTGGTGGCAAGTGTGAGGCTGAGGAAGTGGCATTTGTGCCTGCAGTGGGCCTTCTTTCCTGCCAGGCCCTCAGGAGCTGGCCCTGGGGGTGTCACCATGGTCACCCTTGGGCAGCTCCAGCACAGGGCCACTTACCCGGCCTGCTCCACCCTCAGCTGTTGTCACCTGTGGGGCCTGTGGGGGGAGGGCCCTCTTCCGCAGCCCAGCCTCAGTTCCGGGTGTGGGCCTTTGTCCTGGACCGTGGGGTCACGCCCTCCTCAGCACCCTCGTCTCTCCCCACCAGTAGCTGCTGCCCTGTGTGGGGCAGGGTCCTGGGCTGGTGGGAGATTCGTACCCCTCCACCAGGGCCGGAGGGCGTTTGCTTTTACCCTTCTTCCAGGGCAGTGGCCCTTCCCTGTGGCCTGGTGACAGAGGCAAGAGCTCATTTCCTCATCTCAGCCCAGAGGCTAGATGCGTGCTTGGCCCCGGGCCAGGAGCACTTCTTCCCTCCCTTGTGGTTAAGGGCTCTTGCCTTGGACAGAGAGGCCAGGGGAGGTGCAGAGGTCTGGTCTGTGCGTTGCGAGCCTCTTTGGAAGAGAGCTCCTGAATGAGGATGCTCTCCTGCTTGGGGTCTGTCCACCCACATGTGACCTGCTCAACTGGGGGAATGTGCCATCGCGGCCATCTTCCTCTGTTCTGCCTGTGTGGCAGCCCCTCTTCCTTATGCTGGGCCACTGGGAGACGATGGCTTGAGGGTCCTGTTTTTCCTGAGGGGTGGTCCCTGTGTGACCCTGGATCCAGCAGGTGATCCTGCTTCCCAGCCTCTGCAGGGCTCCTGGAAAGGAAGGGCCAGGGGACTGTCAGGCTCTGCGGGCTCGGGATGTCCTGCAGTGTCTTTCTGCTCCGTAAGTGCATGGAGGATGCCAAAATGGCTTGACTGGTGTCAGTCCTGTCTTGCCAGCAGAGGACCACTGGCCCCTGCCCGAGCGCTTGTTGGGTGGAGCTCTGCGTGTGTGGCTGGTTCTGATGTCCCTCCTGGCCTGTCCTCTGTTTCAGTTGTCTCAGCTCTGCCCTGAAGAGAACTTGGAGAAACTCATTCCCTGCCTGGCTGGATCAGACCCCTTCTATGTGGAGAGGAACCACGTGGATCTGGAAGCGGGCCTGAGGTGGGTGAGGCTCCTGGCTAGGTCTTTCCGGGGCCTGGGCAAGCCGTTGGCCACACGGCTGCCCCCAGGTGGGTCTCCGCTGCCTGCAGGATTCTCCTCAGTCTTTGAAGGCTCTGAACAGCCTCTGGGAGACTTTGAGTGGATGAGTGAAGGGATTTTGAAGCCTGCACCACCCCTTACTATGCCTTTGAGAGCCTCTGAATGTCGTGCGTGTGCGGCCACTCAGTGCACGCCGCCCGTCACGTGGGTTCTGTGCTGTGCAAGGAGCTGCTGTCCTGCTTCCCGGGCCGCCATCCTCATGTCCTGTGACCTGGCCGCACACAGGGGGCAGCGGGTGGAGGCTTGCTTTCATTGCTCACGTCGCAGGCCTAGCGAGGAAGACTCCCGACAGCAGGCTGGATGTGGGTTATGACCTGCTGCTTATTTTTTCTCAAATATCTATTTTTCTTGATTGAAAGTTAAGACCGTCCCCCAGTAGTGACCGTTAGTGCCTTTTTGATGATAAAGCCCCTTTGCTTAACTTGTAGGTATTTGGCTTCATTGCCTTCTCATGTATTGAAAAATGACCACGTTAAGAAGTTCTTCAGCACTTCATCTCCCACCCAACAGCTTCAAAGTCCAAGTGAGTTTGTAAAATGATTCAGAAAAACATAAACATTCCCATTGTCTGAATTTCTCCGACACGTCTTTTTCTAACTTGCAGGTCCTGGCAACCCCTCCCTTCCGAAAGTGGGTGCTGTGATGGGAGTGTCTGGCAGGTGAGCGGGGACAGCCACCCCACCTCACACCTGCTCTGGCTCTAACTGTGCCAGCAGTTTCAGAGTGAGGTCCTTCTCAGTCTGAGTCTTGAACGACATCGCGAGGACTAGGGTAGAGATGGTGTGATTCATGATGTCCTCAAAGTGCTGAGTAGTCAGTGTGGGTTTAGGTCTATCAGTACCTTCTTGTTATTTTTGACTAACAAACTAGGCATCCCAACCAGAGGTCGTTGGTGATGGACATGTACACAATGTGCATGCACATAGGTATGTGGGTGCACACAGGTATGTGGGTGCACGTGTCTCTGTTGCACACAGGGCACCCTGTAGCAGTCTCACCATAAGCAGGTGGTTGAGATGGGGGCTAGAGAGGGCGCTGGTATTTCCAGAGTTTATGGTAGGCGGACAGCGTGTGCCGGGCAGGAGTGGGGGCCATCAGGAGAGTGCCCGGTGCCGCTGAAGTCTTGGAAAACAGTGTTTCTGTGCCCCTGCCTGTCCCCTGTCCTGCAGGCCTGTGTGTGGAGTGGCCGGAATCCCGTCCTCCCAGAGCGGCGCCCAGCACCATCTGCAGCACTCGGCCAGCGCAGCTGCTGCCTTGCCTCACTGCTCCCACGCCGGGGGCGCGGGCTCGGCACTCGCCTACCGGGCCCAGGTGGACGCCCCGCCTGCCATCCTGATGCCCTCCAGTCTGCAGGCCCCTCAGCCCCAGGAGCAAAATGGAATTTTAGACTGGCTTAGGAAGCTGCGCTTACACAAGTATTACCCTGTCTTTAAGCAGCTCACCATGGAGAAGGTACGCAGGCTCCCGTGTGGGCTGTGCCCGTGTGGTCAGTGCTCCTTTAGCTGCCTGTATCCTGACCTTGCCCCTGGAGGTCATGTGGAGAGGAAGGACTAAGGTAGAGATCACGTGGCCCGGATCTGTTGTGAACAGGCAGGTCGCTGCATATGTAGTTCCAGGGATCCACCCACCGCACCTGAGACCAGCGTGGCCCCATGCAGAGCCCCGCTGTGGACCGTATGCACCACCCTCATCTGTCCACATCCTGTGTAGCCCATGCCCTCAGCCCAGCCACTGAAATGCGGCAGGCCTCGAGCAGTGGATGCAGCTTCTTTGAGGCATATTCACTGGATTGGTTTTTATAATAGAGCAGTGGATCAGGAGCATTGTTCCCTTGTTAAAGATTCTGAAGTGTTTCTAGTCTGCATGCCACTGATTAAATTAACCCATACAAGGTATCTGGACTCTGAACTCCCCCCGCTGGACAGGACAGGTTGGTAGCTGCAAGTTTCATGTGTCCAAAACCCAGCTATTGAACCTAGAAATCAAGTTTTTACTACAAAGCAAAATCAAGTTTTAAGTATATTTGTAATACTCTGTTTTGGATTTATAAATGTCTTAAAAATGAGGTCCTATGACCTGGGGGTGGTGGTACAGCCCTGTAATTTGAGCCAGTTGGGAGGCTGAGGTAGGAGGATCACAAATTCAAGGCCAGGCTGGACAACTTATCAAGGCCCTGTCTCAAAAAAACAGAAAAAGGACTGAGGATGTAACTCAGTAGTACCGCACCCTGATTCAGTCCCCGCCCAAAAGAGAGATGACTGATCAGTTTTAAGTTTTTCTAATTGAGCCTGTGGGTTGAAATGGCTAGATTGCAGAGCAGGTTGTGGTGCGAGGTGAGAGCTAGAGTACCTGCTGCCCCGTGGACGGCCCCTGCGACCCTGCAGAGGGGAAGGTGCCCTTGAGGGAGGACCATCTGCTTATGCTGGTGCCCCTGCCACAGAGGCTGGCATGTGCCCAGGGGACCGTGTCTCCCTAGGGCTGTCCCGGGGGGTGGGGTGCTGCTGCCAGGGGCAGCTCTGTAGCAGGTGGAACTGTGACTTCTCCAGTCATTTGTCCACGTAGCTCACCCATGCTGGTGACTGGCCTGTGCTGAGCAGAGGTGCCCCTCACGCGGCATCTGTGCGGGAGGTAAGCAGAAGCCCAGGTCTCTGCTGAAAAGGTGCGTGGAATAGTGGATGGTTCACACCAGGTCACTTAGTGAGGGGACGATGTCCTGTCCCCAAGTCCTCTGTTAATGGCATAGGCTTGATGTGTCAATAGGCCATGTCACTTTCAGCCCCGAGTCCTTGGTTTCCGGTTCCGAGTCTCGGTAACTCTGTAATTGGTTTCTCCCATGCAAGTTTTTGAGCCTTACTGAGGAAGACCTCAACAAGTTTGAGTCCCTGACCATGGGCGCCAAGAAGAAGCTCAAGACTCAGCTGGAGCTCGAAAAGTAAGCGTGAGGTGGTTTTCTAAACATGTCTTCAGTGACTCGGGAGGCTGAGGCAGGAGGCCTGCAAGTTCAAGGCCAGCCTGGGCAACTTAGCAAGGCCCTGTCTCAGAATAAAAAATAAAAAGGATTGGGATATAGCACTTAGGTTCAATCCCCAGTCCTGCAAAAACAAAAGAAAGCACAATAATGATAATAGTATATATTTTAATAATGTGATGATAATGGTAATGAATTCATTAAAAAAAAAATAAAATTGATGAACCTGCCCGGGGCCGTCTTCACGTGACCACATGCCAAGGTGTGGCCTTGGCATGGCAGGAAAATCAGAATCCCTTTTAGCCTTCGGCGTGGGTCTCATGGAGCAGAGGTCTGAGGGTAGTGTGGGAACCAGGAACCCAAATGGACACTCACTATTCCTGTACCTTGTTCTGCAGGGAGAAGTCGGAGCGGCGGTGCCTGAACTCTTCGGCCCCGACCTTGGTCACCAGCAGCGGAGTGGCCCGAGTGCCCCCCACCAGCCACGTGGGGCCCGTGCAGGCCGGGCGAGGTGGCCATGCTGCAGGTGCGGAGGGCTCACAACTGGGCCGTCCTTGATGTGCAGGTGGCGAGGTGCCTCACGCCATGCTTGCCCACCACTGAAGACAGGCCAGCCTTTCTCTGTTTGACTTCCATGGGGACCAGGAACGACAGGAGGGAGGCTCATGGGGACTTCCCTGAAACCATGTGGGTAGAAGGATTAGACGTGCAGCTGCCAAGCTGACAGGAGCTCGGGAGGTGGCCAGGATGAACCTGCCCGGGGCCGTCTTCACGTGACCACAGGAGCCAGCCCCCCAGCCGTGCTCCTTTCCCTCCCTCTTTGGGAAAGGCTGGGACACCTGTGCGGTGGCTCTTTGTCACAGGGTGGAGTAGATTCTCCTTCACCCAGTACAAGTAGCAAGAGTAGCCTGAGGGAAGGGCAGGTGCCAGGTCTGTTCCCAGCTGCTCAGCCTGGTCTTCTGTGGAGGCCAGCAGCACCCAGCCCTGCAGACATGTTTCCGTGGTCTGTGGGGAGCAGGGCACCGCCGTAAGTGCTGCCCACCTCCCCACAAGGCCGTGGGCAGTTGGGAGGGGGAGGCTCCCACTGTGGTGGCAGTTGTCCCTGCCTTCTTGGGTGTGCCCAAAGGGCTCACCTCCGGGTGGTGGCTGAGAGTGGGCTGGTGCTGGCTGGCACCCTGGCAGCCCCCTGTGCTGGACATGGATGCCACCCTGAAGGTGACCTGTGCCTTCTCCGCAGAGCTGCGGGTGGAGGTGGAGCCGCCCACCCACCAGATGCCCCGGGAGGGCAGCTCCTCGGAGTACTCCAGCTCCTCCTCCAGCCCCATGGGTGTGCAGGCGCGGGAAGAGAGCTCAGACAGCGCGGAGGAGACCGACAGACGTAAGGCACCCGCTTGACCAGCTGTGCTGCCCGCCCTGTCCTGGCTCGCATGGTGCTGACTGCTCTTTTCTATCCCCAGGTGTGGACGTGCACTTAGAGGGTTCTGATAAGGAGAAGCCCGTGATGCTGCTGAGTCACTTCCCCTCGAGCTCTGCCCGACCCACGGCCCAGGTCTTGCCTGTGCAAAACGAGGCTGGCTGCGGCCCGGCAGGCCACCACCCTCTGCCCCCACAGCTGTTACCCACAGCCTCACACCTGGCACCCATCAGAATGCTGAGTGCAGTGCACAAATCGGACAGAGGGGGCGCTGACGGGAAGCTCCTCTCGTCCTCCGTGCACTCGCTCTTGTCTTTGGAAGAGAGGGGCAAAGGGCCTGGCCCGAGGAGTGGCATTAAAGTGGACAAGAGCTTCGGCAGTGCTGTGCTCGACACCCTGCCCTCGTCCACGCCCCATCCCCCCGTGCAGGTCCTCTCTGGACTCTCAGAGGGCAGCTCCGTGTCACCCACTGTCTCCTTTGGGCCCCGGGCCAAAGTTGTGCACGCAGCCACTCTGGACAGGGTGCTGAAGACGGCGCAGCAGCCAGCACTGGCAGTGGAGACCAGCACAGCTGCCACAGGGACGCCCAGCACTGTCCTGCACGTGGCCCGGCCGCCCATCAAGCTGCTGCTGTCATCCTCCGTCCCTGCCGACGCTGCTGTCTCCGGGCAGACGTCCTGCCCCAACAACGTGCAGATCAGCGTGCCGCCTGCAATAATCAACCCCCGGACCGCTCTGTACACAGCCAACACCAAAGTTGCCTTCTCCGCAGTGAGCAGTGTGCCCGTGGGCCCTCTGCAGGGCGGCTTCTGTGCCAACAGCAACACTGCCTCCTCCAGCAGCCACCCCTCCACCTCCTTCGCCAGCGCGGCCACGCTGCCCAGCTGTCCCGCCCCCAGCTCCAGCCCCGCGCTCTCCTCCGCCCCTGAGAGCAGCTTCTACAGTGGTGGTGGCTCTGCAGGAAACATTCCTTCCTCAAGTCAGAGTCACCACCACCACCACCACCATCAGCAGCCCCCGGCCCCCCCGGCCCCCGCGCCGCCCCCACCCGGCTGCATGGTGTGCACTTCCTGCGGGTGTAGCGGCAGCTGCGGCTCCAGCGGCCTCACCGTGAGCTACGCCAGCTACTTCCAGCATCCCTTCTCCGGGCCCTCCATGTTCACCTTCCCGTTCCTGCCCTTCAGCCCCGTGTGCAGCAATGGCTACGTCAGCCCCCAGCAGTACGGGGGCGGCTCCACCTTCCCTGTTGTGCACGCCCCCTACAGCGGCAGCGTGACTCCCGACCCTGTCCTGGGCGGGCAGTCCACATTTGCTGTGCCACCAATGCAGAACTTCATGGCCGGGACAGCAGGGGTCTACCAGACCCAGGGACTGGTGGGAAGCAGCAACGGCTCCAATCACAAAAAGAGTGGGAATCTGTCCTGTTACAACTGCGGGGCCACAGGGCACCGCGCCCAGGACTGCAAGCAGCCGTCCATGGACTTCAACCGGCAAGGTAAACACACGTGCCCCCTGGGCACTGCACCCAGCTGGGCATCCCAGGGCAAGCCACTGCCCGCGGCCAGCAGGTGCTGCAGACCACTGGAGAGACGCACGTGCTCGGCTTTATGAAAATAATAGTCACCTCTCTTCTTTTTAGTTTTATTTATTTGTGTCTCTGTGTGTGGTACTAGAGAGGGAACCTAAGCGCTGTGTCACTGAGCCACGTCCTCAGCCCTGTTCATTTTATTCTTTTTATTTCGAAACAGTCTTGTTAAGTCGCCCAGGCTGGCCTGGCACTTGTGATCCGCCTCCCTCAGGCTTCCCAGTTGCTGGGATCACAGGCATTTGCCACTGCCCCTGGATTAAACTTCTTTGTCTTAGAGCTGAAAGTAATTTTTAAAACCTTTTTGAAACAGCATGAAGATGTAAATGATGCCGTAAGTGCCCCAGAGGGGTATCCTGGCTCTGAGTGTTTCCTCATATCTGGGGCCCTGTGGGCTCTGGGTCTTGCCGTGGGAGTGGTTAGGACGTGGCAGTCTAGACCCAGGGGCCCTGCCGCCCTGCTGTCTGCGCCTGGGGTGTGGCTGTGTGCTGGTGGCGGGTGGTGTCTCGCCAGGCTGTCCCTCTTGCCTGCCTTGCTTTTGTGTTCCTAATTTCCTCTAGTCCTTGATTTCACGTGGGTCTGACGTACTCTTTACACCAGGTTTATTCTTGCTATGTGTTTTGGAAGGGTTGACCTGGGGACTGGGAAAGCTGGTCCCAGCTCTGACCATGAGGTGCGACCTTGAGAAGTCACCATCTCTCTAGATTTCCAGCACCTTCTTTTGAGGTTGCACAGACCTGCCTGTTTGTCCTCACCACCCAGAGAGCTTTCAGAAACCAGCACCTGTAACCTGGGAGGTCCAGTCACAGGCTGGGCGGTGGCCGTGGGCTCTGCACCTGCATCCTGTGCACCACCCCCACCTCAGGGATCTCCTAAGGCATGCCCAGCTGGCCGGGCCTCCCCGTTTTCTCTAGCCCCTCTGTCCCTGGGTGGGTCTGAAGACTTGTGAAACGACTTCATTGTGTGTGGCGGGGGGGGTGGGAGAGGCTGGTCAGGCTGTCCACATCTCCAGCCCCAGAGTCCTGCCTGGAGACTCCGGAGGCCACGGCACAGGTCGGTGGTCTTGTGATTTTGCAGTGATTCAAATTTGCCTCTTTTTTCTTTCTCTCCAGGTACTTTTAGGTTGAAATATGCCCCTCCAGCAGAAAGTCTGGACTCCACAGACTGATATTTTTCTCTGGCAACAGAACATTATTAAGCCATGGAGACATAAGAAAAGTTAAATACAAAACTGAGACGTCTAGTTGCTGTTGAGCTTAATATTTTTAATCCAAAGGTGCTTTACTTTACTAGACTGGATAGAAAATCTAGTGTAGAAGTGCATCAAACCCAATTTTATTGCCAAAACCCTAGATTGGAGCTTGATGTCAGGACTTGCCTCGGGGCACCTCCGTGCCCGTGTCGGTGACTTGTCCACCTCCACCCTGGCTACAGTGCAGAGACCTCCTGTCTCCCAAAGAACATCGCATCGCTGGTCCTTCTAGGCTCACACAGTTCCAGGGCAGCTACGCGCGACCTGATCAGACTGCAGGTCCAGGTCCTCCAGTGGGTCCCCCAGATGGACTCGATACCCCTGGGTTAGGGAAAATGTCAACTTTGTTTTGCTTTACTTTTTTCCTAAAGTGATAGGCACTAATCTCTGGGATTTCTAAGGATTGCACTACAGAAGAATGTACCTGACGTAGCCCTCTGCAGACTCCTGAGTCCCGTCAGGGCAGACCTGGCTGCGGGTGGAGTTGGCACAGTGGGTACGTGCCCAGCATGCAGCCAGGTCTTAGTACGTCCTTCCTCCTGCAGACAGATGTAAACGATGCTAGTGAGTGGAAACTGTTCATTTCTAAGGGTCCAAGTCCCAGGAGTCGCTGCTGAGGCTTGAGACTGGCCCTCTCCACCGCACCGCAGGCGGCTCCGAACTGCTCTCCACAGAGACAGCAGCAGAGCAGCTCGGCTCTGTGGGTCGCGTTCCCAACTCCACTTGCTCATCGTCACCATCTCACATGGGCTCCAAGGACCCGGCCCCAGGGCTTCCTGCTGATGTGTGCACACTCAGTGGGACCTTGCAACAGCAGTCCAGTCCTAGGGCTCATGAGCAGAAGATCTGACCTCTCCTGTCACTTTTTTGTTTTTTAAGGCTGTGTATTGATAGCTAATTCCGTTAAAAATTGCCTGGAAAACTTCAGTATAAGGCAGAGAGACAGAGAGAGCACAGACCAGACGCAGCCTGGGACTGGGAGAAGTCCTGTTTTAAGTAGGAAATAGCGCCCCTTGCTATAGATGTCCACATCTCAGCCCTTTGGAATGGAAGCATCTGGGGACTTAGCCCTCGAGGATAAAGGGAATCTTCTGCTCATGTGACATTATTTAACCTTCAATAGTAACGTTGGTCGGCAGAGTCTTTCCAGGGATTTTCCAGTTGAATATTGAGAAGAAAAATCACAATATTCAGACCATTCTGTATTGAAATGGGACAATCAGCTTCATACAAAATTAGTGTAAATCAAAAGAATGCCCTAGAATGTAAGGCATTTGAGTATGAGGCTTCAAATTTTAGATCAGTTTCCTGGCTTTGTGGAAACTAAAGCAGAAAGTTGTTACATTTTTTATGAAAGGCTTTTAGTAGTTTTGTAGTATTATTTTAGTAGAGTTTTATTTCTATGCAATGCAGAATTGACAGACCTCTGTATTCTTCTCTATTCATGGTACACAGTATTACATACAGTTCTGGAAGTAACGGTGATGCCTCTTATGACAGCTGTTAGGGAAGGCTTCACAGATCTCTTAGCCCAACACTACAAACATCAAATATCAAGAGCTGACACAACTTTGCCTTAAAGAGCACCAGACTGGAGTTGGTCCTGTTGTGTTCAAGAAGACTAGAGTGTTCATCGATGTTTACGATTTTAATACTTCTGAAGGCCGTCACAGCGGCCTGGATATGTGCTGAAAGCCAAACTTTTAAATTTTTTGGTTTTTTAAACAAAGAAATATTTTAAATAAATCCTATTTCAACATAGTGAAATTGTTGAAAACTGTCTCATAGCAGAAGAAAACCTTATTTAAGTTTTTGTTTTAGTGTCAGTATAGTGGAATGAAAGTGTCATTGTTACCCTTAGGACTGTTTTGATAAATATTACAGGTTAACCCCAATGTAACAAAAACTTAGAATAGAAGCTTCCGTCTGAAGTGTGACACTCAGTGTGCGGTGCGTCAGTCCTGACCTTGCCATGGCTGGGTCCCCGCCTCGGAGCACCCCGGTTGTCTTTGAAGGTGAGTGTGTGGTGTGAGGTCGTCAGGAGGCTGCGCAGTCAGGAACCAGGAGACCCAGCGTGAGAGCAGCGTGCAGAGGGAATCCCGCCCACCCACAGGCCCGTGCCAGGTGCAGCCGTGCTTGGACACGAGGACCTTGGCTAGCAGTTACCGCTGGCTGATGAATCTTTCTCCAAAGCAACCAAAGTCAGTAAGCCCGAAGAGCACCTTGCACTTCACCGGAGTACTCCACCATCGGTCGAAACCACAACATCCTGGCCCTCTGGAGCCACCCTGCCGAAACCGGTGCCCCAACCGGGTGGGCGAGCGTGGCGCTGTGCTCTTCGGAGCCTGCCACGTGTTCAAGCTTCTATCCCTGCGTTTTAGCTCCAGGAATGGAGACAGTGGAATGTCCAGATCCAAGTAGAACAGTGCCAGGATAGAACTGTTTAACCTTTCTTTTTTTTAAGCAAAATACTCGATTTTCTACCTTGTTTTCTAATTTTTATTTCACAGTAATATGGAAAATTGGAAAGTGTTTAACGTTAAACTCCTAATTGCTGAAGAGCACTGAGGAAATGGGAGCTAGCACTTAAAATGACAATTAAGACAGAGCATTCTCTTGAGCGCACAAGTGACTGGGTGTTAACAGGCCAGCATGTCCACACCGCAGCTGGGGCCTGTCTTCATTCAGGGCCATCGGGCCCTGGTGGTGCTCCTTGTGGGCACAGGCCGCCGGGCCCTCTCCGCACCCCTCCCGTCCTTCGCCACTTCCCGGTGTTGTCTGATCTAGTCCACCTCCAGGTAAATGCCGGCCATGAGGGAACCGTCTCCCTGCTCAGCCTCGTCCCTAAGGATGCTCCTGTGGAACCTGAGCAGCTGGCTGTGCTTCCCGAAATGCAGGTGACTTCCAAGGAACATGTCAGGTGACACTGAAAGCCATGGGTCTGAGGAGGCTGATGCTGGACAGTCCCAGGCTGAGCGAGGTCTCTGGTCCGCTCTTGCAATACTCCAGAAAACCACCTACTGTGCTGGTGAAGGCCACAAGGCCGGCCACCACCCTGCTCACACGGGGAGGGAACGGTGGCCACACGGGTCATTCCTCCTGTGCGCAGAGATGAGGCGTTGGTGCCGAGACTGAAACCTCCGCAGCTTCTATTGGACATGCTTTCTTTTTAGGAATGAAGGAATATCTCCCATTTTTGAGCCATTCTTTTGTCAATTCTACAAAATTGCATGTAACTTTATAAATATTTTTAAAAGATATAGTTTTGTAAATATTTAATATTCCGCTAATTTGATTTTGAATTGTAAATGTCAAGTATTCTGTTTTTGGGGTTTTTATGTTTTATTATACTTTGTTAAAAAGGAAAAATTGTACATTTTTAGAATGTTTTTATGAGTAAATTTAATGTACTGAAAATAAAAATTTTAAAAAAGTCTCAGCAGTTGTATCGGGTCTCTTATCCTAGCACACAGCACACACATCCTTTCAGACAGCTCAGTCCACCCCAGGGCTCTCCATCTTTTTCCCAGAGTGACAACGTGGACACTGGGTCTCATTCATGTCCACCCATATTCAAGCGCTGCCCCTGGTTGAAGTCCTGCTGGAGGGGCTGCCTGGCGCCCACTGGCTGTCTATGGAAAGAGCACCTGGGAGGCCCCTCTGGCCATGGCAGCGGCCAGAGCAGACCAAGGTACTCTCCCTGCACGGACCTTGACCTGGGGCAGAGTTCTTAAGAATGGTGGCCACTGTTTGAGAGGAGAGCTGCCTAGGGGCCAGCAGCTGCCCACAGTGCTGGGCCAGTCTATGCTGCCTGGTGTTTGTTCCCGCAGACACCCCCCCCCCCCCCCCCCCCGCCGCCTCCTCTTGATGCAGGCCCACCCAAGGTTCTCCAGCGACAGGCCCTGACCAGAGACACAGAAGCCGCAGGAGGCGTCCCTCCATCAGCACTCCCATGCTTCTCGGAGGTGCTGACTGCATGCGATCGGGTTCCCAGACAGACCCACGGACCTGAGCGTTGGTGACAGTTACCTTTATTCACTCAATGCCTGGAAATGCATCTGCTTACAGACCCCAGAACAAAGGTTGCCTCTGAGCATGTTTTTTTTTTTTTTTTTTAAAGCAGCATTAGAGACATCTGACTGCTCACACAGTAGTCCCGAGAATCCCAGGTACAGTGGTGGATACGATGGGAACAACAGGCTTTGAGAATTTTCATCATGTAAAAATAGACAATGCAGCAGGGAGTGGGTGGGGTCCCGTGACCAGGAGCCCAGGCAGCGGGCGCGGCCCTGGGCCTTTCCTCCTGCTGGTGCAGTTCTTGCTGGGTTACTCCAGGCACAAGGGTGCCTGTGACCTGATGAAGGGAAGGGAGACAGCCCCACCCAGGCAGCCAGAAGAGCTAGGGGCTTGGATCTGGATGGTTGCTTCCCACTGGACATGCAAGTAGAGTGAGGGAACCCTAATGGGATTTGACAACTTCTAATTACGTTTTAATTACACACTTAACCATGAAAAAGGTATCTGTGGCTTTAAGCCAAAAGGCAAAGGATCACCTCTGAGTGCCAGTCCTGTTTGGCCACCACTCTGGTTTCTACTGTGTCCTAAGGGCGGTGGGCATGCTGCGGTCACACTGCTGGTCACTTACAAAGCAAGCACCAGTCAGGTCTCAGAACAGGGACAACCCAAAATAGAAAAAAAAAAAAAAATGCCCCTTTACTCTACAGGCTTTAAGAAACTAGATCTACAGTTACAGTTCAGTTCCGGGCCCATTTCCTACTGAGCAGTGGTGACTTCCTGTGTTGACTAAGCAGAGAGGAGACCAGGGAACTTTCTGGCTCGGACGGGGGTGTGGACTCTTGGCGTGCTGCAGCTGGGACACGGCAACCTTGAGCCTTGTGCATCCGTGCTTTCTGCACAGCCCCCTTGGCCCTGTTCTGTGAAAGCAAAGGCACCTGGGGCCCGTGCAGAGTCCCCTTAGGGAGACTGCTCTAGCCGAGCAGAAACCCTTGTAGGACCTGGAGAGACGGGGCAACCTGAATGCCCTGCCCGTTCTTACTGGGGACAGAAGAGCATTAAAATAACTTGGAGGTCTATTTTATTGGCAACTTAGGATGCAAAGTATTTTATTTTTAAACATCTAAAATTTGAAGACAAGATGCCTAGGTTAAATAATGAGGTTCCCAAAGCTGAGTGTGCTCACTTGGAGCTCCGTTTTTCTGCTTGAAATACAGAAACAACCCCTAAAGCTCCCAGGTGGAACACAAGTGCCCCATGGCCTGTGACTGGGTGAGCTCACGAGTCTCAGTTGGCGACATCCCTTTTTCTCCTTGGCAAGGGCTTGGAAAGCTGGACGCAGGGTCCTGGTCTACTCGGCCAACCCGCTCCCGAACGTCTCCTGGGAGGCGTACACCATGTACAGGAAGCCGTCCTCGTCCTTCTCCCTCTCGTACACCTCCGACACGGGCGTGCACACGCTCACCATGCTGTGGCCGTTCACCAAGAGGAAGAAGGCCTGGTTTGCGTTGAGCTGCAGGCGTCTCCTATTGAAAGAAAGCCACGTGAAGAGGGGACGCCAGCCTTCACGGGGACCTTCACACCACAGAAGCGCAGATGGAAGAGCTCGCAGTTGCTGCGTCTAGCTGAGTAGGACCAGCATCCCCCTCGCAGACCAGCTGGCCCTTCCTGAGCACTCTCCCCACCCTGCAGCGTGAGGAGCAGGCTGGTGGGCACCAGGATGCCACGCTGGGTGCCATCCCCTGCACCCCACCGAAGGCGGGATGAGCCGTGATCACTGCCGGGCCATCTTTACCACAAGGCCAAGGGCAGTTTTCAACTGGCATGCCGTCCACACAGCCCTGAGAAAAACGGATGTAAGCCCGTACAGATGACTGTGTCGACATTTGTTTTAGTCATTTGCTGAACCCAACTTTAGTAACTGTGACATTTTAAAGAAACAACATCTGTACTAGATGCTATGGACGGATCAGAAGGGACCCAAGGTTGTCCACCTGAGAAACAGGGAAGAACTCAGTGGTTTCGTTAGGCTGGCAGAACCAAAAGTGGACACAGCCACTCAAGGAGTATGAGACAAAGAAAGCAGCAGTACCTGATTATCTTGATGAGCTCGCTCATGTTGACGTGGTCGGGCACGAGGAACTTGGTCTTGTCCAGCACAGGCAGCTGCTTCTCACCCTTGTATCTTTCTATAATCACCTAGAGAAGCCAGAGGCGACGTTCCAGCAGCAGGAAAGGCAGATGCTTCCCAGCCGCAGCGGGCACGTGCCTTGCAGGCTCGGCACGGCTCTCCTGAGCGAGCAAGCGCTTCCCGGCTCTGTCTCGGTCTCTGGCGGGATGTGCGGTAGAGGAACCCTAGGGGAACCGGGGCCACCACCAGGTGGGGAAAGCTGCTCTGCTTGAATTGGGAGCCATACAAAATCAGCACCTCGTCAGAAAAAGACCCTCAGCCTCACACAGGAGGGCACACGCCTGTCATCCCAAGGACCCAGGAGCAGAGGCAGGAGGATCACAATTTGAGGACAGCCTTAGCACCTCAGCAAGACCCTGACTCAAAAATAAAGGGCTAGAGATGTAGCTCAGTGGTAGAGCACCTGGGTTCAATCCCCGGCACCAGAACAATATACCAAAAGCTACAGTACGTGGAACTACACGGGCAAGGAAACGGCTCCATGTTAGGGACTGATATTAACGTGTTAGTTTCTCGCCACACTTCCAAGAGGAAAGTTTTCTTTTTTTTAGTTCTGAGCTGCTACACAATCCCCCCACAGATGGGCCTTTGAGCCTTGTCACCATCTGCATTCACCAAGCGCCAAAGACTCTCTCCTTACATGGTACTTCTACCTGTCACAGCAATGGCAGAGAGACCAGGATAGACTCTTAACGTAAATGCTCATCTGCACGCAGATCCTCAGAGGGGACACATCAGGCTCTGCACCTAAGGAGGCCACTTGGGCTGCTGTCCCCTCTCTTGCCAGGATCCGGAGCACGCACACAGCCCTGTGTTCCATCCCCAGCACCAGGCAAGAGGAAAAAAAAATCAGCCTAGCCAGAAAAAGACTGACAAGGAGATAGCAGTGTGCAGACACCACGCGCCTGGGTCTACACGGCCGTGGAGGACCCCGAGGCAGTGACGGCTCTGGTCTTGGCTCAGAAGAGATGAGAGAATGAGGTGAGGACCTCGGCAGCCTTTGCTAAGGGAGCGCTGCGGCTGAGGTCAGGCCTGGCTGGCCACCCAGCGAGGACACTTCGACTAAGATCTGCGGGGCCACGTTTTGGCTCTTGTCCTTTTCATTTCTATCTAACTGGGGAGAGATGGGAAAGCATGGGATGACAGCCTTGGCCAGGTCTGAAGAGTGGCCCAGGAAGCAGTTCACTCGGGGTCAGCCTCTGCTCTCGGGCATCTGCACAGAGGGTCTGAAGCTGCGCTGCCAGAGTTCTCTGACTGCTCTGTTTTCCAGGCACCACCCGTGACAGCTTGGCTCACACCTGCTCAGGTGTCCCCAGTGTGGAAGTGCAGACAAGAGTTTGTGCCAGGAACTCGGTGCTGCAGTAGGACAGTTGGCCATCAGCGTGTACAGGCTGCAAAAGTCCTGGAGGGCTCCTGACCAGCTGTCTGCTTCCAGCTGCTAGCAAGTGCCAGTGTGCAGACCCGCGGGTGCTCAAAAGCAGAGCAAAGCTTCAAATCCACAAAAGCCTCCCTCGATCTAGGAGGGCTCTGCTTGGGGAGCTCACGCCTAGGGTGACTCCTTACCCCTGAGCATGACGACAAAGTGCAATGTCCACCCAGCACAGGGAGACACAGTGTGTTCTACACGGCAGTGCTGTGCACCCTCGAGGCCCAACCCTCAGATGCACCATCTTCCCCCTCTCAGTTCAGTATGAACTGACCAGTGAGAAAGTCACACATGAAACTAAGACTACCTAGAAGCTGGCAGTGGAGTGAGCTTCTTTCCAAGTGAGCCGAGGGACTGGTGGCAGAGGGTATAGCCAACACTGGGCACCCAGGGACCCAAGTCATGGGAACACGTGCAACATCTGGGCTCCTCTGCCATGTTAAGAGGAGGGCACCAGGACTCCTCCCAGAATCCTAGTAACCAGCCACAAGCCCCTGGGAACTCTGCGTCGAGGCCTGAACTGAGCCTGTCTAGACCAAAGGTGGGCTCTTTTTGAATGGTTTTGCTCTAGACCTCATGCCCAGAAGCCCATATCCAAGGTCTGCCACCAGAGGATGCAGCTAGGAGACACTGCTGGGCAGGCAGCAATTACACCAGAAGCGCCTGAGGGTGCAGGTGGTCTCCGCCTTCTGCAGGCAGCCAGACTAGGGAGGGGCCCCTGAGGCACCTGCAGGCAGCAGTCTTGGTGAAGCCCAGGGCCCACTTTCCCCAGCAGTCACCTGGCCAAGCCTCCAGTAGAAGACAGGGAGGACGTCTTGGCATAATTAAATAGTTGGCTTGGCTAGGCCACAGGCACTGGCCCACGCCTGTAAGCCCAGCGACTTGGGAGGCTGAAGCAGGAAGACTGCAAGTTCAAAACCAGCCTCAGCAACTCTCAGCAAGACACTTTCTCTAACTAAAATACAGAAAAGGCTGGGAATTGGCTAAGTGCCCCTGAGTTCAATCCCCAGTACCAAAAACAAAACAAAGGAAAAAAAAAAACAAAACAAAAGAAGAAGTTGGCAGGGCGCAACGTAGGCCCTGGTGCATCCTCAGTACCCAACAGGAAAAAAGCCATGGTTGCAGCCCCCTCTCCCTCTCTTCTCAAATAAGTACATTGGGCTTGTGAAGTGTGAGACATTAAGGCAGTGAAATAAGATTAGCAGGAAGAATGTGACCCAGGCTGCACACGGGGTCTGTGTCCGAGGACCCCTGAAGAGGCCCTGTCAAGTGGGGCATGCAGGCCACTCTCTCCTCTCCCCGAGGACCTACCGGGATCTTGGTGGGATGCTGCTCGCGGATGAGTCGCACGTCTTCTACTCTTTGTTCTGCAGGGAGAGGAAGAGAGGAGGAGGCATGAGCACCGACTGAACCCAGGGGCACTTAACCACCAAGCCACGTCCCCAGCCCTTTGTTAATAATCAGATACAGGGTCTCGCCGAGTTGCTTAGGACCTCACTGAGTTGCTGAGGCTGGCTTTGAACTCGCGATCCTCCTGCCTTAGCCTCCCGAGCTGCTGGGATTACAGGTGTAATCACCACACCCAGCTTAAAATCAATTTTTGTTCAGTTTTCATGATTCAATTTGGAATAGGAATCCATTATGAACCACAAACTATTCAGAGAGGTTTTCTCTTATCAATTCCAGCTTTTCAGTGATATGGTACCTAAGGGAAAAGCAACTGCGCAAGAAAAAAGGAATATGGAAAGGGAAAGTACTTGAATTATTTGAGTTTTTGACAGTTTTGCTCAGTACCTAAAGGAAATCAAAGCTTAAAGTACAAAGCCTTCTGTTGAATATTTTCCAAGAATCTCACTTCTCCCTTTCAATATAATCACTTATTTCTACTTTTCAACAACTGTGCCAGGCTCTCTGTGCGACTGGGTTAGGGTCGTGGGAGCTCTCGGCAGACCTGACTCCAGGGCAGGAAGTGGGCAGGGTGCCGCTCAAGGCACAGCAGTGTTGGTGTGTGCTCTATCCCCAGGATGCAGGACAGACATTCCAAAGCAGTGCACAGACACAGGATCAAGATGGCATCACCCAAAACCTTCAACCAAACCTTTACAAAATGACCTCAATTTTGAATAGGATTCATTCTCATGGTATTTGCAATTAAATGTTATGAACTTCTTGAGGAAATAGCTCCAGAAAAAAGATGGGTTTGCTCTACCAACACAAATTCATTCCCATACTGCCCATTTCATTTGGATGTAAAAAAGACTTCAGCATCACCTTTTATGAAATCTATTGAAGTAGAGCACAGAGGTTCTGCTTTCCCCTCCCATATTTTAAAATCAACTTAAGATAAGGTATTAAATATAAACGTGTTTTCCGTGGACAGGGAAGCTGCGAACCCCTGGGTGTGAGTATGCATTCCCACAGAGCAAGCAGCAAGGCCAAGATGCACTCAGCCATTATTAAGAGCGGACCCAAGAGAAAAGACTACAAAAACAAAAACAGTGAGCCTCACAGCTTCCACCTGAACCACTCCATTTCCCGGTAAGGGGCTCCCCATCTGTCCTCCCCAGAGAGGTGCTGGCCTTCCAGGTTGACTCCCGTCCACACTCCAAGTCGTCAGTGGGGATTGCTTCAGGACGCAGGGAAACCTCAATTCAATTAATCCACTCTAACAGACTGCTCTCAACACACTCGAGGACATATTCACACTTTAAAGCTCATAGTGGTAAACTAAAAGTGGGATCAGGAATATAAATAGTAATAAGTGCTGGAGAGGACATGGAGAAAAAGGAACACAGAAGCTGTCGGCGGGATTGTCAATCAGTGCCACGACTGTAGGAATCCGCACGGAGGCACCTCAGAAGACTAGCCAGGACTGCCCGATGGTCCGGCCACCCTACCCCTGAGCATTTACCCTGAAGAATCAAAGCCATCTTACTTCAGTGACCTACCCACACCAGTGTTGGCAGCAGCACAACTCACAACAGCCAAACTGGAACCAGCCCAGGTGACCATCAGTGGATGAATGGATAAAGAAAATGTGGTCTATACACACAATGGAGTTTTGTCAGCCATAAAGAAAAATGGAATTATATCACTTTTAGGAAAATGAATGGATCTAGAGATCACCATGTTAAGTGAAATAAGCCAAACTCAGCAGGTCAAGGGTTCTAAGCTGTATGCTGAAGCTAGACAGAAAGAAAAAAAAAGCTTGTACCAATACCTTACAGCACTTCCCATCCACGTGAAAAACTGTAATGCATCAATAAAAAATGTGGAAAAAAACAGAAATGGAAACATTCAGGCTGAGGGGATTTCTTTTAAAACACCAGAAAACAAGTCTATCTGGGTACGCACAGAAAGGAAGAAATAAAAAGGTTCTTTTCTTAAAAAAGGGTCCAGGACTGGGGATGCAGCTCAATGGGAGAGCCCTCGCCTGGTGTGTGCAAGGCTGTGGGTTCAGTCCCAGCACCAAAAATAAAAAGAGCCAGGTGTGATGGTGCTAGCCTATAATCCCAATGACCTGAGGGGACAGGGCAGCAGGATGACAAGTTCCAGACCAGCCTGGACAACTTAGGAGACCCTGTCTCAAAAAGGAAAAAAAGGGCTAGGGTATGGCTCAGTGGGAGAGTGCCCCTGGGTTCAATCCCCAGAACCACAAAATCAAAACAGAAGGCGACTTCCATTAGAGGTGGAAAAGAGGCATAAAGGGACCAGGACTGCCTGCGGAGGAAAGCACTGCACAGCTGGCTGAGGTGGGGGAACATGGAAGAACCCACTGGCCTGCAGCTTGGAGCCCCCTCCTGTGAGGAGACGGTATGAAGGAAGCCAAGTGTCACCCAGCACACCGACACAGGAGGGAATGCCTTCACGCCACATTCTTCCTGGCATTTTAATGACTGTTTATTATCTATCTGCAGCTGCAGACTGGCGGGACAGCCGGGGCCCTGCTCCAGCCACCTCAGTCTTCTACCCCTGTCCCCACCACTCCCAGCCTTGCAGAGAAGACGGTTAATAAGAAGAAAAACAGTTAATAATAGGAGCTGAAGGAAAAGCGGCACAAGGAGACCCACCCTCCAGTCCTCAGCAGCCTTGAGGGCAGGAGTGTGCCTGTTCTACCCAGAGAGCACTTGCAGCACCTTCTGCTCTCACCATCTCCAGAGTGGCTTCACTGAGCAAGAGGGAAGCATGACCGTCCCCAGACTCTGCATGGCTGAGCGGTGTTCTCAGAGTGCCTCTGACTTTGGCACGACTCTGGCAGTCCGCCTGTCCACTATTTATTCTGCACCAACAACCCTTCCATGGAGAAACACTTCCACAGGTGCAGCCTGAGACCCAAGTTTGCCATCCTCAGTAACGTCTCGGCTGAACAGTGCCTGCAAAGCAGATCTTTTGCTAAATAAACTGGGGCACCCAGAAGAAAATGGAGTGAAATCACATTTGAGAAGACTGAATCCAATATTATTTGCTCGATTTTAATTTTTGCAATGTGTGTCTTAAAATCTGCAAGGACACACTGCTGACCTCGCCCTGGCCCACTCGACACATCCTCCGCGGACATCGAAGGCTACCTGTGGGAGCTGAGGGAGCAGCGGCCTTGGCGGTGAGCGCCACCTCCCGGGCCCCACCCTGCGACTAGACTAGAAGGGAGGGACGGTTTAGGGCGAGCCCTGATCCGCTCCGCGAGGGAACCCTCGGGGCAGCGCGGAGCTGGTTCCCTCCACATGGGCTTCAGCCCGCCCGCGGGGACGGGGGAGCGTCTCGGGCTCCATGGCGGGGGCCCCTGGACCCCCGGGACCCCCGCCTTCCCGGGGCCGCGGCGCAAGGCGGGTCTCCAAATATTGGCACCTTTCTGCAAAGTGACAGAGAGGCCTGAGACGGGCCGGGGACAGGGGTGACCTAGGAGAAAACCCCCGGGACCAGGCAGACCGGAGATCGCGAACTGGCGCGGCCACCATCGGGACGCAGACCGAGCCTCGCACGGTCCCCGCTTCCAGCTCTTCCTCGCGGCCTGGGAGCGACACTCCAAGACCCCTGGGGACGGGACGACCCCGTCGCGGGGGGAAGCGGGCCTCGGGCGCCAGCGTCGCCGGCCACTGCGCAAGGCGAGAGGGCGCGGGACGGCTGCAGCCCGCGGACCCCGACGGCAGCTGGCACTCAGGACCCCCGCGACTCCCACGATCCCCGGCCCCCGCGACCCCCGGTCCCCGCCGCCCCCTGCGACCCCCCGACCCTCGCGGCCTCCACAGCCCCCGCGACCCCACAGCCTCTGTGGCCCCCGCTCCCCGCGGTGCCGCCCGCCCGGCCCACCGTCCGCGGTCCCCCGGCTCCCACCGAAGGTGCGGCGCTGCTTGAAGGTCTTCTCCGAAGGCATGATGCTGGAGGTCCCGGGCTCGGCGGCTGCGGGTCCGACTCTGGCGACGGCGACTTCCCTTGTGTCTCCTCGGCCCGCAGCCGGGTCAGGTGACCCACGCCGCGTCATCGGGGGCGGGGCCGGGCCGGGCCCCTGTGGCCGCCATGACGGGCGTGGCGGAAGTCGCGGGCCGCGCGCAGCTCGGGGTCGACTGCGCGTGCGCATGGCAGAAGGGGGGGGGGGCGCGTCCTTTCGCCGGGCAGGTCCCGCGGGAGGCCGCCTCCGGGCTCCTCCGCGCGCCGGTGTCCCCCTGCCACCAGTCGCCCCGGCCCACGCTGGCGGAGCCCAACCCAGCCGGTCCAGGCGCCCGCATCAAGTTCCGTCCTGAGGCCCCGCGGCGCCCTCCGCGGGCCGATGTCCGGGCCGGCTGGTCCTCGGGTCACCCGGGGTCCGCGCCTCGGCCCCGCCCCGCCGCGCGCTGGTGCTCCGAGGCCGCTGGCTCGGTGCCCGGCCTTCCTCGAGCCCCTTCGGGGTGTGTCACAAAGTAACCGCGCCGCGCCCTGAAGCCGGCCCGTGGCGGGGCCGTGGCGGGGCCCGGGGGCGCGCTCCCGCGCAGACCTGCCCGCGGCTCGGCCCCGGGGCCGGCGGAGGATGCGGCCTCCCAGGGCAGCCCTTAGCTGGACGCGGGCGCTCCCCCGACCTCCGCTCGGCCCCGAGGAGGCCTGGCCTCGGCAGCCCCTGCTCCGTTGACGGGGGAGGGTTTTGGGGAAGGAACCCAGGCCTCCCGCTTACCAGGCAGGCGCTCCTCCGCCCAGCAACACCCCGACCCCCTGTTCTTCTCTGCTACCAGGAATTGAACCAGGGGCGCTCAACCGGGGAGCCACGTCCCCAGCCTTTTCATTGTTTGAGACAGGGTCTCAGTGGTTGCTTAGGGCCTTGCTAAATTGCCGAGGCTGTCCTCCAACCTGCGATCCTCCTGCCTCAGAGTCCTGAGTACCAGGATTATGGTCACGTGCCACCATACTGTTGTTGTTGTTGTTGTTGTTTTTTAAAGAGTGTATGGCTTTTGTTTTGTTCTTTTGGAACTGGGGACTGAACCCTGCGGTGCTCTATCACTGAGCTACATCTCTAACCCTTTTTATTTTATTTACAGGCAGGATCCTGCTAAATTGTTGAGGCTGGCCTCAAACTTGGAATCCTCCTTCCTCAGCCTCCTGTGTCACTGGAATTAAAGTGCTCATCACCACACCCAGCAAAGGAGTCATTTTTCCGTTGTTTTTGTCTCTACAAGGCAAATAAATTTGAAATGACCAATCTAAATAAACTAAGATCTTTTTTCTTGCCAGGTGTGGTGGTGCATGCCTGTGATCCCAGCTACTCAGGAGGCTGAGTCAGGAGCAGGAGGATTGAAGGTTCCAGGTCAGCCTGGGCGGTTTAGCAAGACCCTGTCAAAACAACAAGAAGTGCGGCGGGGTGAAGCTCAGGCAGTGTGCTCCAGGGTTCCATCCCCGGTGCCCAGAGGCCGTGGGGTGAGGCACTGACTGCTGGCTGATTTTTTTTTCTGGACTCTTATGATTGACTGGTGAGCAACTATGGACTGGTAAGTGCTTTCTTGGCTTAATTGCCACTTTGCAAGAGATGGGTTTTTCCTTTCTCTTGCTGGACAACTGTTCCAAACGCAAGAGAAAAAAACGTCGATATCTGGCGGATGGAGGTGGGGGAGGGAAGCAGGGATTTTCTCTCTTCCCTCAGGCCTCGGGCCTCAGGTTCATTGCCAGAGCTCCGGGTGGTGGTAGGTGAGGGCTACTCTTTCTGTTCTTGAAACTCCAAGTTCACGTTGGCAAAGCTGCTTTGTTCTACCCCAACCTGTTATCCAACCCTGATATAAAACCAACGTCTCCACATTTCTCAAGACGACCCAAAGTGGTCAGGAGCACGAAGGTGACTGATGCTGGGGCAGCACTGAGGCAAGAGGATGGTGATCCGGGCCGGCCTGGGCACCTTGGCCAGAGTGCTTGCCAAGCAGGTGTGAGGCCCTGGAATAGCCAGCAGCACACTTAGTAAAAATGGCACACTTTTGTCAACAGTATAGAGGTCACACCTATGATGGTTTTTTATTCACGTACAAAGAGACAATATCATGTAAAATTCCAAACAGAAGTGCACTTGAGCAGGGTGACACATTCCACGTGACTCCGAAGACCGAGGTTCAATCCAAGGTTAATTAGGTGAGAACTATTTGGAATGGCAACGTTATGAGTTGTATATTCCTAGCATGCGCACCGAGTGACTCATATCTAAGTAATACTGCCCCCTGAGATAGTCCCCATAAAGTAGAACACGTCTTTCTTTTACTTCATCCAGTGCTTTCTCTAGGAATTTCGTGGTGCTTTAATACTGTCCATAGCACATTCTAGAAAGCCAGGCAGAGGAAGCTTTCATTAATCAGCACCCGGTTTCTTTTTTTCATACCACGAAACGGCCATACCGTGGGCGGAACCACGTAACGCAAACTGCCTGCGAAGCTGGGGCAGTCGGCGGAGACGCGACCCAGGCTGGCCCGGCACCAGAAACCAGCGGCAGGTGCGCTGCGCGGCCCGCCACACTCAAGATGGAGCGCGCGGCTCCCAGGCGCTCAGGGCTGGCCCGCCGCCTCCTCCCGCCCCGCCTGTCTCTGATTGGAGGACACGGCCCACCGGCTTTGTTGTCTGCGCGGCTATTGGCCAGCCGTCCGATCAGTCGCGGCACCACCCCCGCTCCTCGGAACAAGTAAACAAACAAGCCTCTCGGCCCGGCGCCGGCGGCCTCGGCGAGCTCTGCCTGCCAGGTCGTTTGTGCTGCCGCGTCCGGAACCGGGCGGGCCGGGGGCAACGCTGTTTCGGTGGAAGAAGTGCTACTTTCGGCGACTTTCCAGGCAACTGAAGGATGAGCCCCGCCCACATTCTGCTGTTTTGCTGACGTTTTCAGTCCCGTGAACCGAGTTCCCTCCCTGTTGCAGAGTCACGGTGTTGGGACAAAAGGACTCCTGCGTCTCCTTTCCCAAGAACGCACCCGCCTGGTTCCTCGTCAAGGGGGCGCAGGCTCGCTCAGTGCCTCGGGGCTGGGGAGAGAGCTCGGCGCGGTCCAGGCCGGCCGCGGTCACCCTCCGAGTGGGACCTCCTAGTGGGCCCTGCACTGCGAGGTCAGCACCCTCCGAGTGGGACCTCCCAGTGGCAGCTCCTGGCACGTCTCTGGGGAGGCTGCGGCTGCCGGTCTTCCCCCTCCAACCCTGTGCTCCCCGCCTGTTCCTCACGCCTACTTCCTATGCACTATTACTACTTACACCCTTCCTTTCAAACAGTCCACTTTTTACGGTATTAACTTTGCCACAAGCAGTCATAATGTTGTGGAGTTATGAATTTGATGTGCTGCTTAGCACTTTCACCTCTGTGTAGCAGATATCAAACCTAAACAGAAGGTTTGCATCCCGCACGTCACCGGCAACCCTGCCGGTTCCCCCGACGCCTGTCATCGCTGTGTCATGCGTGCCCCGAATTGTGGCCAGCCTGGTGTTCCAGGAGAATGCCTTCTGGCCGGTCACTCTCTGGCTAGACCTCCCCCATTCACCTCTGGCCTATCTGTCCCTTCCTGGCTGTGTCCAGACCACTGCCTCGCAGACCCTCTTGTCTTGCTGTGAATACTCACTTAGCCATGGACAACTAGTTGCCCTTTCTTTCTAGAACAAGTATTCCTCTGGTTAACTTCAGTTCTTCCTTTAATTGAGAAAAAAATAATAAAAACTTTTTTTTTTTTTTTTTTTTTGTGTGTGTGTGTGTTTGCTGGAGATTGAACCCAGGGCCTTGGGCTCTTTCTTCCTACAATTAGAAATGTCACATCCTGAAATACCCTTTCTCTGATCATCCAGATGAAGTACACACATCTACAGAAATACACATATATGTGTGTGTATATGTCTCTTTTTTTTTTTTTTTTTTTTTTAAAGACAGGTATCAATTTATTTATTTATTTTTAAGTTTTGGGCGGACACAACATCTTTGTACGTGGTGCTGAGGATCGAACCCGGGCCGCACGCATGCCAGGCAAGCGCGCTATCACTTGAGCCACATCCCCAGCCCCTATATGTCTCTTTTTAAGTGCCAAGTTATGTAACTCAAATTATAAATATAGACGAGTATGACCATTCTTCTAAAGATGAAAATAACTGAATTATTTTTCATTTTATTAAACTTGAAGTCCTCTAGGGGAAAAAGTGTGTTTTATTAATCCTCTTACACCCAGCTCCTAGAGCAGGCCATAGGTGGATGGATGTTGACATTGTTTTGATGAACTGACAGCACTGGTCACGCCTGTACTTTGGAATTCACTGGGACACACAGGACACAGCACACAGATGGCCAGGCCTCTGTAAATAGTTGTGACAGGGTCTTGCTTGTTTGCTTACCCTCTCTCCTTAGCTGGGACTTCCTGCTTGGTGATCCACCAGTCAGAAGGCTGATGAGCTCCACGTGCTTGGTTCGTGTTTCTCAATTCCAGCTTTTTAGCCAGGTTGCTCCTTTTTTTTTTTTTTTTTCCATTTAAACAACATTTGAGTCAGTGAACACTCACTAAGAGTGGGCATCGGTGATGGGTATGTCCACTGAGGCTGCCGAAAAGAAAGCCAATGTTTCCAACCAGACCACCGGGGGCTCTGCAGTGGAGGGGAAACCTAGGGAAATGCTCAGGGGTGTGTGTGGGGCCACGAAAGAGGCCTGACCTGGAACTGGGGCTGGGTTCTGTCCGTGGGACCATCATATGCTTTTCAGTAAGTGAGCAACATGATGCTTTTGCTTTTAATATTTTTTTAGTTAAAAGTGGACACAATATCTGTATTTTATATTTATGTGGTGCTGAGCCACAACCCCAGCACCTTGCTTTAACTTATTCTGTGAAGGAAAAACATCTAGTCAAGAGTGTGCAGGAGGCACTTTAGATACTGTTTTCAGTCATGTGGGCTGAGATGGCAGGTTGGACTGGACCTGTACGCGGCTTTTAGCAGGGAAACCTGCCTTACTGTTTGTGATCTGACCTCCAGGCTGCTCCTACACCCCAGAGGGGGTGACAATCCATGCAGCTATACTCACGTTTTAAGTTTTACTAATTTAAATTTTTTTATTTTAAAATCATTATTACATGTTTGCGAGGGGGTCTTGCTATTTTGCCCAGGCTGCCTCCAGACTCCTGGGCTCGAGCAATGCTCTTCTGCCTCAGGACTCCCAAACGCTGGGACTGCAGATGCCCACGCACCAGGTAAAATGAATTAAAATTAATTAATTAAAATTAATTTAATTAAAATTAAAAACAGACAACAACCAGGGCGCGGTGCCGCACGCCGGTATTCTCAGCAGCTTGGGAGGCTGAGACAGGAGGATGGCGAGTTCAAAGCCAGCCTCAGCAACTGCGAGGCGCTAAGCAACTCAGTGAGACTCTGTCTCTAAATAAAATACAAAACAGGGCTGGGGTGTGGCTCAGTGGCCGAGTGCCCTGAGCCCAATCCCCGGCACTCACACACACACACACACACACGACCGAGCGGGCTGGGCTGTGCTCAGGGCAGAGCGCTCGCCGGGCACGTGTGAGGCGCTGGGTTCGATCCTCAGCACAGCATTAAAAAAAAAGCAAAACAAGGCGCGCCGTCCATCTACGACTACTGCAGACGGCGGGCCGCAGACCCGGCCGGGCGGGCGCCTTTGCTACGGCGGGTGCGCAGCGGCCTGCGCCGCTCGCCGTGCAGAGCCGAGCCCCGGGCAGGTGAGCTCCGCGGGCAGGTGCGCCCGCAGCCGCAGGGCCGCGCCGCCCCTCTCCGCACAGCGGCGGCAGAGCCTTTGCTGGGTCAGTCGGGCGTCGGGCAGATTCGAACGCCCAAGCTGCCAGCGCCGCCAGCGCCGCGGGGCCGAGCCCTGGCCAGCGGCGGGAGGCCGCGCGGTCGGCCTGCTCTGCTGCAAGGTCTGCGGCGCGGGGCCGCCGCCACGGAGCCTCGTTAGCGCAGTAGGTAGCGCGTCAGTCTCATAATCTGAAGGTCGTGAGTTCGATCCTCACACGGGGCAACCGCCTCCTTTTGTTTCCGACAGCGGTGACTCTTTTCGCGAGCCTCGGGGCCGCAGGCCTCCGGGTCCTGGGGTCCTGCGTTCCCGGGTCTCAGGTACCAGTCTGCTGGCGGCGGTCCAGGTCGCCCACACAGCAGGATTTCTCGCAGGCGGGGCCCGCGCCACTAAGAGGTGTGGGGTGCGGAGGGGGCGTGGCCGGCCCTGGGCGTCGTGCGGCGAGGGCGTGGCCAGGCCCGGGGCGCGGTGAGCAGCGGGGGGCGTGGCCAGGCCCGGGTGCGGCGTGCGGCGGCTCCGGCCGCGCGTGCGCGGAGCGCTGAGCGTGCGTGCTGCCGTCCGTCCTGCGGGCGGGCATGGCGGTGTGCGCTCGGCTCTGCGGCGTGGGCCCGGCGCGCGGATGCCGGCGTCGCCAGCAGCGTCGGGGCCCGGCGGAGACGGCGGCAGCAGACAGCGAACCCGACACGGACCCCGAGGAGGAGCGCATCGAGGCGGGCTCCGCGCCGCAGTCCGGGACGGGGGGCGGCCCGTGCGCGGGCCCCTCGCCTTCGCCCCCGCGCTGCTCGCTGCTGGAGCTGCCGCCCGAGCTGCTGGTGGAGATCTTCGCCTCGCTGCCCGGCACCGACCTGCCCAGCCTGGCCCAGGTCTGCACCAAGTTCCGCCGCATCCTGCACACCGACACCATCTGGAGACGGCGCTGCCGGGAGGGTGAGCGCCGGGCGGGGCCGGGGCCGGGGCCGGGGCCGGGGCCGGGGCCGCGCCGGGAGGGTCGGGGCGGGGCGGGATCTGTCGCAGATTCGAGGTGTGGTGGGGTGCGGCCGTGGCGCTGCCCGCACTGGGGGCTCAGGGAGGGCTGTGGGTCCAGGCCGCTGAGCCCCAGTGGCCAGTGAGAGCTGGGGCTGGTGTCCCTGTCAGCAGGGCCCAGGAGGTTCAGAGGGCTTGGCTGCCTCCGTTCCCCCCCAGGGCGCAGAGCCAGAGACACCCGAGATCTGGGGCTCTTGCTGGTGACTGGCCAAGTGTGTGCGTAAGGCCGCCACCTTGTCCTCAGGCTGGTTGGGTGCGTTTTATCAGGGTGCTGGGGGCAGGAGTGAGGGCAGGGAGCAGCAGCTACTTTAGGTGACAGTCTAGAGTTCAAGGCTCGCTGAACTTCAACCTTGAAAGACGTCTGATGTGCAATCACCTCTCATATTTTGTTCAAAACAAAACAAACTACTTCCAGACCCTGCGGAACAGCAAAAGGAAGAAAGCAAGCGTCATCAGAGACCTGTACTGTTAAAGACTTAAAATTTTGGAAAGCTTGTCATTCCATACATGGGTGTAGTCATGTCATGCACATTTTACTTAGAGGCAGTTTGCAGTAGGACTCTGTGGTGTCCACTCCATTCATAATAGCTATAAGCTGTATCCTAACTGGCACACTTTGAAGTTTTCCATTTTTTCCTTGTCCTAAATTGTGGTTTGACAATTGCTTTGTGCATTTTATAGAAATTTGGGAGATTTATGTGTATATTTTAGAACTTGTGAGATTATCTTCTTGGAGTGCATTTGCTAAAATGTAACCGTTGGGTAGCATTGATGAAACCTTTGCTACCTTACCCACCTATTTGAGTTTGCACCACAGGTCTGCAGGAGAAGGCCTCTTCTCCCAAAACCTCCTGGCAGTGGGCTGATTGTTCTATCTTTGTTGTATAACATAATGGCCAAGGCCCTGGGTTTGGAGTTAGCCAACTTGGGTTGTGCCAGGCTCCATTTATCTGCTGCCAGGTCCTGGACAGGTTGCTATACCTTCCCAAGTCTGAGTGATGTATTTGGTGGGAAGTATCTTCTTGAGAGTTGAGTAAGATGAAGCACCCAAAACCCTCATCCCTAAATGGTAGCTGTTTGCTAGCAATGCATCTTTATTGTATCTTTTTCTTGTATTTTTACTGTATCTTTTTCTTGTTTTATTTTTCTCTTAGCTTGTTTTTGCCCTGAAAATTTGTAAGTGCTGGCAGCTGCCAGCATGTAAGAACTGTCAATAATAGTTTTTTAAAATTTTTTTTAGTTGTATATGGACACAATACCTTTATTTTACTTATTTATTTTTATGTGGTGCTGAGGATCAAACCCACGGCCTCATATGTGCAAGGCAAGTGCTCCGCCACTGAGCCACAAGCCCAGCTCTCAATAATAGTTTTTTGTCAGCTATGGGCAAGTGCAGTTTATTGCTGCATTATAAAGTTGAGGCAAAGAAAGTTTTACTCTCCCTTTCCTGGTGAGCCCTACCTTGTGTAATCAGAAAATTCAGAGACATGCCACAGAATAACCGAGTTGCCGCCCAGGACAGGTTGTTAGAATGGTTAGTGGAAATGTGCAAGGTTCTGATGAAGTCGCAGGAGGAAGCTGAGGGCCTATGTTCAGGACTCCACTTCCCACTGTGGTGGCTCTCAGGCAGCTTTCTGGGGGCTCCAGAGGCTCAGGCCAACAGAACATCTCATTTACTCAGGTGACACTAGAAGATGATAACACTAGAAGATGATAACACTAGAAGATTCATTTTTAGAAATTAAAAAAAGAAAAGAAAAACAAGCTGGGTGTATTGGCACTTACCTGTAATCCCAGCAGCTCGGGAGGCTAAGGCAGGAAGGATGCAGGTTCAAGTCCAGCCCGAACAACTTAATGAGACCCTGCATCCAAAAGGGCTGGGGATGTAGCTCAGTGGTAAAGCCCTGGAT